TTGATAGAAGGGTACGGTGCTAGAGTATTGTGTACACCTGAGATATAAGCTCTATCGCAATTTCTAGTTGTACGTGAAATTGTTGAGCAAAGTATTTTGACATTTTTAAATGCATTTCCAAGCATAATCTTGCATGAACATTAGTAATTGATAAGTTATTTCATTAAGATTTGATTTCAGCAAATATTTTACAAGTCAATGCATCGGGTTTAATAATTTCAATACTTACGAAGTAAACTAATTTCACTTAATTATTTTCAAACTTCAATGTATTTAGGCAATTATTCATAATTTCTACAATAATAGATATTTCAAGTCCAACAAATTATTGATTTAAATTTTTATCATTACCGTCAGACGATATCATTAAGGTGTGTTCATAAACTTCAAGTTTCGATTTTAAAATGGTGAACTGTTAAAATTGAAATATTTCGTTATACTTCCATGAATGATGTATTGTTTTGTCTAACAACAAGCTTAAGTTGTCAACTTTCATCGCAGAAAGGGAGAAAAGTACTTATAAGATATATTGTGCAGTTTGTCATTTTTGAAATAGAGAAAACACGAAGAAAATTATCAATATCAAAATGAAAGTACAGTTTTAAGATTAGCTACTGCCGATGATGACTTAGATTTCTATAATAACGGGATAGTAAATGTCTCGATGTGACTTTAAGGAACCGAGTAATGAAAAAGACTGAGCTTTAACAAAGAAACAAACTAGTAGAAATCACTCCAATTTTATATAGTCGTTAAAATCTGAATACAGAAGATGCAAATATACATTCCTCTTTTCTCCAGTGACGATTCGACTGTGCCTCATGTGTACTTAGTGTGTGAGTGAGACGTCGCTCGTACATTTTCTACAGGCCGATGGTGTAACATGTTCATCTATAACCAAGCATTCAACGTAGATTGTCAATGACTGTGTGATATTATTTTCATTTTCTTATTAATGAACTCCGCATGTATTGTACTAAGCACTTTATTTTTATTGAATAAATTATTGATTCACTTAGATTTGTGCACTGAGCCGACATAAGCAAAAAGTTTTGATCCATTTATACGATAGCGATATTTGTTTGTGCGTACTACATATTGACGTTGATTTTATGAAATTATTTTAACAAACGAATATCTGTAATTGACACTACAATTAACAGTTTCTTAGATATTGTGCGTTGAAAAACTTGTGGCTGTACACGTATGAGTCTCTTTCAAATCATAAACTCACCGAAAGACAAATAAAGATGAAAAGTATTTCTTCACGCTTGTTAAAACAGAGTTAGATATAAATTGAACGATCTTGCTTTATCATAATTTTTATTTTTTAAATCATATTCACATGGTGAAATATAACATGCATTTCGTATCATTTAATATATCATTTAATATTAAACTAATTTTTACATATGTTCACTTTTATATTGCTTTATAGTAAATGCAGAATAAATTAAAATATGATAAGGTAAATTATTTTATTAATTTTTAGCGGATGGCGTATGTGTGACTGACTGACTGACTGACTGTGTGTGTGTGTGTGTGTGTGTGTCGTAACAGTAAGCATAGTAAGCAAAACAATTTAAAACAATTTATTCTATTTTAATTTATCGTGTATTTACTATTAAGAAATATAAACTTAAACATATATCCAAATTAGTTCACTATAAAATTGTACGTTAAAGCGATAAATTAAATGGAACGGCTTAATTCATTTATGTATATTTATATATATATATATATATATATATATATATATATATATATATATATATATAAATATACAATAATAAAAATTCGTTTAAGTCTTAATCGATTCACATAAAATATTTTCTTCCTGATTTACAATTTCAGGAAAAAGTTATCCACTAGCACTAAATAAACATTATAACCTTGATAGGTCAAATTACAATTAATAAATTATTTAAAAATGCTTACACGTGTAAGATTATCTTATCAAGTTCGTACATCAAATAAATTAATCAAGGCCATAATTTATAGCTGGCTAACGAAAAATACGTTAGTTCTTGAATTTTAGTTAGACAGTTAAATGTCCAACTGCAATTATCCAAGGGCCAACTGTAATTATCCATTTGTTTAATTCTCCACTTATTTATTTTTTAAGAAAATTGATATTATAAGCTTCCAAGTTTCGACTTTGTTAAAAATTACGCAGAAGTATGTAACGCTCGGGCTATATTCTAAATTATGTAAAAAAAAATTAGTTTAAAAATATTTGTTTAACCAAAAATAAATTATTGTCCAATCAATAAAAATGTAATCTATTATTTTAATATTATCGTTATAAAATTTATACTTAATACAGAGTGCAAAATAATTGTAAATGTATGTACAATTACAAATAATGTGAGTCGAATAAAAGCATTTAAAATTCATAATGCGAATTCGAAATAATTTTCACATTATCTTTTATTAAAAATCAATTTTTCCTTTTAAAAGAAAAATTAATTTAATCACCAATTTAATTAAATCGGAATATACATTTTCATAATACCCACCCCACGCCCTTTAAATAATAGATAAATATTATTATAAAAATATAATTATAATCCGTTCAGGTATTGTTTAAAAATAATTCAAGGTTTATTTAATTCAAAATAATTCGGTACACAATTATTAAATTAAATCTTGCATAATGTTTTTTATTTTATTTTATACATATATTTATATTTATTTATATGATATCATTGTGAAAAATAATTACAAACTCGCGTCTGATAATTCAAATTAATATTGAACTCAATTTATTACTTTAAATGTGGTATATATAATTAATTATCCACTCTTGTACAAATTAATTCATCGTTAAAATTCTATCTATTATTTTTCAATTCGATTCTGAATTCTGAAACAAACTTAACCTCAAATGCCCATAGCATTTACAAAACTTAAAAGTCAGTGCATCAAACTGTGTATTATAGGAAAACAGCATACATCAACGATACTATTTTCATTAATGCAACTTAATTAATCTTTCGATCTTTATCCGTTATTTTATGAATAAATCGACTTGACTTGCGATATATGCCGACCAATTGTAACGCCTACGCGTTTATTTTTTTTTTTACCGTTCTTTCATTGATCGCTTTACCTTTGCAAGGTTAAGTGCGATGTACGTATAAATTAAAAAAAATGTGTAGATGAGATTTTGATTTTATAGTGCAAATGTATTTACAAATAATATTTCACAAGTTGGCGTGATTAAAAATTGATAGAAAATTATTTCATCTGAATAATAAATGTATTTCTGCGCTGCTGTTAGTTTGTGTGGAAACGCGTACACGATGTTATATTTAAAAAAAAATACTTGGATGAAGCTATATGCCTAATTAAAAATTTGCTTTTAATTAACGATGAAATAATTTTAAATCAATCAATCTACGATTGCAAGGGATAAAAGTATTATTGACTAACATTATTCATTTTAAAATTCAAGCCATGTAATTATTTAATGCATATTCAAGTCTCATAAGAGCATTATTAATTCGTAATGCTGGTCACTAAATCCTTCATAACGATTATCCTTTAATTAATCAATTAATGGCAAGTATCTTCGTTTACTTGCTTAATGAGTGAAAGAAATAATTAAGTTCCAATGACGAAATTACTACGTACATTAGAAAGCGAGCGATCGATCGTCCAGTCTCCGTTTATACGTCTGGACTTTCTCGTTAAACTTCACGAAAAATTGTTTAAGAAATGCATTTCTATTTTACGCAGCCGGTTAAGAATAAGAAAACTCGAATAAATTCATTGATCCGTAATTAAATGTAAAATAAATAAAGCGGTATGGGCAGAGGTAAAAGCGTACTTCAAAGTTATTGAATTTTTAAGGGCTAAGATCTATCTTTGGATTAGATATTTAAATCTACGTTTATGAATACACGTGATAAAAATAGTTGCCGGCATTTCATGGAAATATTTTCGAATTGTTGCAAAAATATTTGCCTCCTGATAATAGTTATCCTCGTCTTTATTATTACAATTATTTTATAGTTAGTATTTGAGATTTATCACTAATAATTCTTATTGTTAATCCAAGGTATTTGACAATTCATTGATAAACAAGTACTTTCATTGAATTTAGCGGTTCTGTTAACGTAGTTTAGCCATTAGTGATCCTAATATATTTTACTTCGCAACTCGCAACTCATTTATTTATGCACTTTAAAGTTATATATATATATATATATATATATATATATATATATATGGCGAGCAATAATAACAATAACAATTGCGCTTAATTATATTAGTATAATTCAAAATTAAGTAAGGTCGTGGATGTTATTATTAGTTTACAAGTACAAGAATATATAAATGTTAAAAGAATAATACTCGTAATGGTTAATTGATTAATTACATGATTAATTGCACGATTAATCGGATGAGTTGACTGTAATGTTTTTTTCGTCTCGCTATAAGTATTTGTACCACTTAATTCTTGCTCGTTATTTTTTTTAGTTTTCATTTTCCTTTGCAACATAATGTTAACAACAAAAAAAGAAATATATATATATATATATATAACAAAACGAAAAGAGAACAAAAAAAACAGAAAAAAAAAAACAAAAAACTATTGAATAAAATTTTTGGAGAATTAAATATTTCTTTTAACTGTGTTGAATGGTAGTTGGGTATACCTAGATCATATGTAGAGATTTTTCGGAGGGTCGTTCATTGACAATGCGAGGTACCGAGAAACGGAGGAAAAAGCCGAATTGTTGACTGGAAATAATAACGAGTCAACATAAATCACTCTGAAAGGCTTGCCGGAGTGAAGCAGGGGGGTTACGAGGGGGGGAAAAAAAAGGGAGAAACAGAAAGAGGAACGGCAGCAGCGACTGCGGCATTCCAGAAAAGTGTAACATAACCTTCACGATCGTAAAGAATTGGTTTAAGGTCCGATGTGGTAAAATGAAAAGGGACGGAGAGAGGAGCGAGAAAGACGAGGAAAAAAGAGGAGAGCAGCTACTCACGGCTCGGAGATGACGGGTGCGATCTTGAGTACGCTGGTTAGGAAACTGTGGTCCTTGCAGACGAGCACCGGCTTCTGAGAGGCGCTATTAACATTGAGTATCCTGAATAGGATGCAAAGGATGACGGCAAAGAGGGCGAGCAGAGCCGTTGACATATTGGTTGCGCGTGGCCGGGAATTTAGGATACTCCACCACTGCTGATGCTGCCGATGCTGCCGATGCTGCTGCTACTGTTACTACTCCTACTAATAACCAATCGAGCTCCAACTCCATAAAGCTGGGACGACGAAAAGCGGCGACTCCTCGCGACTTCCTTTCCGACCCCCTCCCACTCCTTTCAGCGAATTTTCCTTCGGAACGTTGGCGTTTGCTCCCACCCTCCCTTACTCACTCTCTCTCTCTCTCTTTCTTCGCGGTGACGAGGTTAGGATTGCTCTGGTGCGCCGTATTCGCACGGAGAGTCCGCGAGCGACGTCAATTCACCGTCGAGACACTCAACCGAATGGCCGTCGGCGCTTGTTTCTGTAATTATAAAACGTAGCGACCGCTTAGCTTGTGGCGCAGCGCACCGGAGGAGCGAGGAGTCGAAGACCGAGAAAATGAAACTACAACGCCTCGCGCCGACTGGCGGCCGACACCCAACCGACTGCCATCGACAATCCTCGAATCTCTCCTCCCGCGCATTTGTGCCGACGGCGAGAATTCGTCGCTGCTGCTGCTGCTGCTGCTGCTGCTGCTGCTGCTGCTGCTGCTGTTTCCACCGTTTCTACTTTAACGGGTCGATCCTCATCGAGCTTCGTCGATTCAGAGTTGCCGAAATGAGCAAATCGAATTCGCCGATCCCGGCCATCAACATTAGGCGGGATTGCTCCAAGTCTTTCCCGCTATGCAGGACTCCATCTGGATTCTGTGTCCTTATCAATTTGAAATATAATTATAAATAACGCGATGACGGCACACAATGGGAGCTATATTTAAATGCCAGATGACTCGTACCAATGTTTTATACATTTTATAAATTAGGGGACATATGGGCGATGGGATCATCAGGCTTTAGATATTTCGTCGACAAATTCAATTGATTGATGAGTGGGCTCTTAAATTATATTGCTTTTCGCATTATTAGACAATTTGCCAATACAAATTGCCAAATTTGATTGACTTCATGCGGTGAACTCAACGCCAATTCTTCATTTTGTAATACGTAATTTTGCATATTTTTGCATATAACGCGGCACCGAGTAAGTTATTTCCATACAATAAAAAGTCCCTTACCCCTTCATTCGCATCAGTTTCAAATATCACAGATGTGCACGTATTATGAAGATTATTTATATTTTTTATTTTAATGACTATTCGTGCAAATATTCGTAAGTGTGTAACGAGCCCACGATAATTTAAATGTACAAATGGATTTTTTTTTTTTTAACTACTTATTTAGTAAATACTACATAATATAGGCATCTTATATATTTATCGACAATATATAGGAAAATATAGTTCGTTTGTGCTAATTATAAAACCTGCGCGACTTTTTCATAATTTTTATTTTTAATCACGCTATCTTATAAACTTCATATTTTCGACTTTATTTTTTTTTTTAAATATTTCTTTTAACCTTCTTATATTAAAAAGAAAAATTAACTTCTCTGTGTAAGTAATCGATATTATGATGTATACAATTAGTTTATGATTAATGTTAGTTTCAATAAGACAAACCTGATGTTTTATATGTTCTTAAGCTATATAAAAATATATATAATTATTAAAGTAAGACTACGTTAATAGTTGTTACAAAAAAATATATCCAATAGTAGACAAACACACGAACACGCACACGCACACACACAAAGAAATAAATTTTCCGATTATTATAAGACAAATTATACTGCTTTAATTGATACAAAAAATATAATATAATAGATAATATACTGTATACTCTATCTAACGTGCAACAATTCGTTCAATAATTTAAAATTACTTTAAAGTTTTGTATACAATATATATATATATATATATATATTAAAACAGTCATTCATTTATTATTTATAAAATGGGTACAAATAAAAACGCTTATGAAATACCAACTAAAAATTCAATTTGCTATTTCTTTCAAAAATACAGTTTGAAATTTTATTATCATTATCGTTGTTATCTTTATGGTTATTATTATTATTATTATTATTATTATTATTATTATTTACTTAATGTAGATTAAAAATGTTCATTATTTCATGGTAAAATGTCTTGAATCTTCTTCACTAAATTTATGAGCACCGACTACTCCATATTCTATTTCTTAATTATTATTTGATATTATCTTAGTAATTAATGATATTGTAGTATTGTTACTAAATAACAATAACTGTAGGCAAAGGATAGGTACTTTATTATACAATTAGGTAATTCTCCCTTAATTGCTTTCTTCTTATGTTTTTAAACAAATAATTCCTAAAGTATTTTGTTTTCCAACGCTTTAAAATATTTTTAGTATTTTACGTGTGTAATTTCAAATTTTATGATAATGATTGAACGTTTAATGCCATACTAGATTAAATACCATAAACAAACAAATATTTCTTCACTAAAATTTTCTTCGTTTACTTTATGCTATTTGTTGTAACAGTAATTATTATATCTTTAAAATATATTTATCTTTTTCGCTTGTTGAGGAATCTTATAAGAATACTATATTGCAAATTAATGAGATATAATAATATCAGAAACGATTTTTGTTTATAATTGAATCTTATTGCTATATTATGACTTATTATTTAAACAATCTTATACTGACCCTTTCACAATTACAATTACAATTTTTAAATTAAAGTATTTTATGCTTTCATTTACAATAGCAATAAAGTGTAATTTTTTTTTTTAAGTATGAATCGCTCATATTCGATTACTTATTGTGTCATATAATTTTTCTATTTATACGTAAATCTGTCAATATTTTTGTTACTTAAAATTAAATTTCATTATACTTTCTTTTTTCCTACCATCCGCGATTACATCTTAATCTGAAATTATATTTGACAGACGTAAAGTAATTACAGTGTATTGGGAGGGAGGGAGGGAGGGGTGGGGTGGGGTGGGGGGGGGGGTATGATATTTAAAAATGAATGATTATTTGCTCGACTAACCTGCTTCGAATAATCAATAATTTATTGTACTAAATATTGTGTTAAATTATGCTAGTAGTAGAAAGCGGTAATATACAAAATACTCTGTAAAAATGTGAAATTTCATATCGTAATTGTGCAAAATTTACAAATTAATTGACCGTAGTCATTGCTAAATTATTTGTTAACAAGATTTTATTTTCAAATGTAAATTCGAATCTGTAAAAAGGTATGGAATAACTAGCTGCTCTCTTTCACCTTAAACGCTTTTGAAAGTTTTCAATGACGTTAACTTTAAGTTATGTTCAGAGAAATTATATTGCTCACAGAATATGTAGTTTACTTAAACAAAATGAATTCATTTTTGTAAACACAGCTTAATTTAGGCTTACGATTAAAAAAATTTTTCCTTTCCTTTAATATTCTATGTTTAATTTCATGTCGCATCAACAATACAAACAATTTCTTTTTTCGTCTCATCTCAAGTGAATTTGAAAGCACGATTATCAAAATTTCACCTATTTTGAAATTACAATCGATAACTATGAAACCGATGGCTACGATCACTCGCTATATACGTACAAAGTAAAAGTCTGCGAAGTTTCTAGTAACCCTAAAAATAACTTCGACCTAAAAATGACTATTTTCAATCCACTATCCAATCCTATTATTATTATAGAAAAACTTTTAATATTCCTCAAAACATATATATCATAATTTATTGCTTTTCTCAATTCAAGTAAGTTTAATTACAATGTTAATTATGACGTTATTAAACAGTGGCAATTTTATTTAAAAACTTTTGATTTTCAAACAAGTGTTTTTTTTTTCAGACATATATGCACCTTATGAATATTCAATCTAATAAAGAGTTGTAAGTATTGTAATGAGTCTGAATACGTTAAAGAGCATAATTTATTATTAGACGTGGAGCTTAAATTATTGCGTCATTTTCATCAAAATAATATTTTGTATTAGCATATATAATATATGGAATCCAACTATTTTTGAATATTAAAAAATAAGACAAGTTTAAATGTATTGAGTATTATAATGAAAAAAAATCTAACCGAGAGCAGTATTTGCTTTATTGACAAAAAAATTTGCTTGTTTCGCTGTAAATGAGTATATAGGTTAAGCGTATAGAACAATTAAAATGCGTTATTTGCTGATTGTTTTACAATAATACGTGTAAAATTCTTATTTTTACACCCTAATGCTATAATTCTTTATAATACATAGCATTTTCGCAACATTTTATCAGCAAAATTAGCTTTGATCGATGAATATTATTTTACAATTGTTTCGATCGTACAAGTGTTTTAAAGATTCAAATTATATTATAAATTTTTTAAATAAATTATAAATAATTTTTGTTTGTTTGCAATAAAATAATATAATGGATAACTGTATTGGTTAATAATTCATAAGTGTAATGATATATAATTCATATTGCATATATATATATATATATATATATATATATATATATATTAATTTAAGTTAAAAAATAAATTTTAATTTATAAGCAATTTTTTGGTAGTTGAATAGCAAACGATTTTATAATTATATCTCTAAAATTTATGCAGCTAGTTTGCAATAAAAATTGGAATATTTAATGTATTGTTATTGTTATTATATAGCTCGTAGCAATCCATGCAAAAGCGTCATTTATCGATTTAACAATGATAACTTATATACATTAATATAACCGATGCTGCTTACTCTTACGCCATTTAACGTTTGGATTATATTTTGTCCAGCACCTGACAAGTTCTAATTCATAAATTTTAACAATTTATTATTTAATTAATACATTAATTAATATTACTTTCGAGTAGCATTAATTCCGAAGCTCGATGACGATTATTATCCATGTTGTTTATTGGTGTTGCAAAGAATCGTAAGTTTTTATTTCATATTGTCTTTAATAATAAATTATTATTCTCATTACATATATTTGAACTATTAATCTTATACTCATAACACGTTCGAAGAATTTTGGCTGATAGAATATAATTTTCTTTTCTTGCTGAATATTTATTTCCAATTATTAAAGTACAGTATGTACAATCAAATTATTTGAGC